GGAGTGTGAGGGCAGGGATCCTCTCACACCCACCCAGAGCAGAGCTACAGCACACCATGCAGCGCTGCTCATCTGTGGACCGTCGGGTGATTTCCATGTACTGTTTCTCAAGGAGAATCTCAGTAACCCTCTTCATCCTCCTGGCACTGGGAATAAACCTAGCTCTTAACCAGAGTCTCCTCTCCAAGATGAGCAGTGTTTTCTAAAGCACTTTTTACCTTCCTGCTATGAAAAATGGCAGCTAGAGATGCATTTTCAGATCCTCCTTGTCACTATTTCTGGTCTACTTCACTTACCTGGTGAATCTTTCTGTATTGATGGAGGAGTTTTTAATTTTGTTCTCTTAATGCTAATTTCATATTCCATGTAGAAAAGGATTCTGCATCAATGACTTCCTTTTGTGAATCATGGTGAATCATTTCACAAGCAATGATTTGATAGTTTTTGTCAGAAGTCAGCTTCAGTCAATTTATTGTTTTAATAAAGTGTTCAATGGTTGTACAAGCTGTCTGTACAGTGTGTATTCTTGCTATATTCTTCTCAATGCCTGCAATACATAGGAAATACTTATTCTTCAGATGCTTCAAATCTCTTGTGCAAATACTGATACAGAGGTGCTGTACAATAAAATTCCTTGGCACTCAGGGTACCTCCCTGTGGCCCTACAAAAATTCTTGGGGCCCAGGATGTAGCTCAGCAGCACAGAGCCTGCCTGGGAAGTGCAAGGTCCTGAGTTCCATCCCCTGTAACCAACAAACATAAAAGAGGCATGGGATCCACTGGTTTCTCCTTGGGACCCTTCATGTATGTGGAGCCCCCCACTCCAGGCTCAGGTCCTTCTTACTCTTCTCATATCCATCCTCACCTCTACATGGCCTACACCTTCTCTATGTCTCACCAGTACATTGTTCCATGGATCCTGTCCTTTAGTTCTTTTTAGGTCACTAAATCCATGACAGAGTACTGTACTCCAGGCTCGATTCCATCCACCCCTCCTTTAGCTCCTCAGCCACTCTTCCTGTCCCTCTGTGCAGCCTTGGGACCCTCCTTATCTCCTTTCCAACAGAGAGCAGGTTCCTCCATTGCTCCTGGGTGTCTCCCATGACTGGGTATATTCCCTGCACAAGGCACAGTTCCCTCCCCATCTTCAGAGCCCTCCATTTCCCCTTGCACCCTTTCTCCCCAGCTTGGGAATCTTTTTCTGGGTGCTCCACAACCAAGCTGGGTTACTCCACTTGCAGCTGTGCTCTTTCTGGCTCCTTGGATTCCCTCTGTGCCTCCTTGGTTCCCTTAGCTCCTTTCTGGTCACATGTCTCACTCTTCAGAGTTCCCACTCCCCGGCCTGGAACCCTAGCATCCTTCCCCCTGGCTCTACTTGGAGTTTCCTCATTCACCTCTCAACCCTGGATGTGAAAGGGCCCTTTCCACCACATTTGGCTCTGGACAGAAATGTATTTATCAAAGAAGTAAGATTTGCCTCTGAGAAATGAGAAAAGATCAGCCAGGGATTTAACTCAGTTGTTTCACCACTGTGACACCCAGTGAGAGAGAAACAATCAGCAACAGATATTAAATCCACACAGGAGTTTATTACTGGTGGGACTGGAGTTGAGCATGGGACTGGAGCCTGGACTGGGGGGAGATTAACATACTTTATACACCTTTGAGGCCAGCAGTTTTTAGGTCCCCCTATGGGATAGAACTAGTAAAGCAAGCAAAAGGTATAGCAGTGGAAGGTCCTGCTGTTAGAACATTTGTAAAACAATAGTTGATTATTGTTGCTTCTATGAGACTCTCTAAGGGGAGGAGGTTTCTAAGCTTCCTCCTTCTGAGTTCATCTAAAGGGCAGGCAGGTGGGTCAAGCAGCAATATGGAGTCTGTCTTGCTAACTAGGGTCCTTCAGCCACCAGCTGCACAAGCAAAAGGAACTGAGTTCGATCCCTGGTACCAAAAAAGAAATGAGAAAAGAAGTCTGGGTTTTGTACTTCATGTGTCATTTTAATGGAGGAAGTCGGGAGTTATCAGTGCTGCAGTCAGATTTTCTGTTATTTGTGCATATTTCTTCTTAGTATTAGCCCATTACTCTTCTGTTAATTGGGTTTTAATTTGCAAGTGGGAAGTATTTGGACTATGATGAAAATACTCTTTTTGTGTGTGGTGAGTCACACAACTTTTCCTCAGTGTCTTGTGGGTGTTTGTGTCCTGGCTTTTGTGTTTAGGTTTAATATTTTTTCTTAAAGCAACCAATATGCTTTAATCATTTTAGGCTAATTCCTGGAATCCTTCTTCTTCTAATATTTTAATGAATATATTCACACCTTGGTTTCTCTTTTGTGATATTTAAACATATGGCCACTGGCATTAACCACTGTTGGTTTTGGTTAACCAGCTGTGAGACCCAAGCCTAGATCAAACTCTCTTTGGGACTTAAGGGAGCAGAAAGCCAGCCACCCCCAAGAGCAGCTTCAAACACGTTCCATCAGGGAGCTCATACCGTCTGTTTCTCATCCATGACTCTCCCAGTGAGTGGCAGGCGACCATTCCACAGTGTGGCACACGTGGCTCAATGGGAGAGTCATGCAGGTATAGCCTCTCATGATCATGTTAATAAAACCATGTCATCTTGTACATCTTAACTGTTAATTGGCAACATCTGCACTAATATCTTAAATAAAATGATGGAATAAGAATTAAAATTCTGTGCTTTTGATGATATTGAAAGAATTAATTAGATTCTGCTGATCACTCAGGAGTCTATTCCCCCATAAAGCTCATGTTCAAGGACTGAGGGGAATTCAATCACAAAAGCAGCAAGAGGCATCCACTATGCTGCAGTGGTGAAGCCCGCTCCCCACAGTCTTCCACCTAAATAAGGAGGAAGAGAAGTGGGTTCAGGGGAAACTCTAAGTCTTCAGAGCAGAGTTCATTGTAATGATTTGAGAGAGGAAGGAGCAGTGGCAATGGGGAGCTCTGGGAAGAAGCTGAACACTTCACTCTGAGGATCAGGAGATTCTCTCTGTGTCTGTGCCCTGTGCCCAGATCATGTTCAGGAAACCACAGGGAATGGGAGAGAAATTGGCTCCAGTTCCTTCCCCCTCCAGGTCAGCCTGAGAGCTCCTCCCAGTCTTGGTGCATCAATTTAGAGGAGGATTCAGGGCCCATCTAGCAACTTTTCACAGGAGAGGAAGGAAAGCAGGGGGTCTGGGTCAAGGTACTGAGGGAGAGGAGAAGGGCTGCTTGGGGCTGGGAAAGGCTGCACTGAGAAGCAGAAAGACCCAGACAGGGTCACAGAGCTTCAGGGCCTGCATCATGGCACAGTGGACAAGGTGGAAATCTACACTGTTCTCCAGTTCCAAGCAGGGATCCATGTGTTTTCTTAGCCCTGCCTGTTCTTCAGGCAAGAAGAGCAGCAAAGGAAGGCTCTCTCTTATGCAGGATTATCCCAATAGGGCCCAAAAGGCAGCATTAAACTGCAGGATTTCATAGCCTCTGGTGTCTGTCCCAGGGGGAGGCTTCTCCCTGCTTCACTGCTGCAGTTTACTTCCCTTGACACTTGCTGATCATTACAGTGCTCTTATCAGGTCAGTTCTCTCCTTGAGATGCTGACAAAGCATAGTCACAGGATTTCTCCCTACAATTTCTCCAAACTGTGTCTAAATCCATAACTTGTGACATTTCCATTCCTCAAGCCCCAGGCAAGAAGTCTACTGGAAACCCACAGCTCTGCCTGAGCCTATGACACAGAGAAAGGGGCAAGACTCAAACTCAGCTTCCAGGAGGCAGGAGGAGACCTGTGTTGGTCCCTGTCCTCACTTGGCTGAATCCCTGAAGAAGAGGAAGCTCAGACACCTCCATGCATTTCAGAGGAGCACTGGGGACCTGAGGGGGGAAATTTCCAGACTCTGCAGGCTGCTCCAAGTAGAAGTGGACTTTTTCCAAAGGTGTCAACCAAATGGCCCAGAATCTCAATACCCCAGGTGGCTAGAATTGACCTCCACCATCCACAGGAGAGGTCACACCTCGACTCAGTCCATTCCTGCATGCTCTATGTTTTCCCAGACTGCTCCATTTCATTCCTGATCCATTTTGGACTTAGCCCCAGTTATATTCCATCATCTGCTCCTCATACAGCAATATGGTTTATTACACTCATTGCTGCTTACTTAATTACCTTTCATTCCTCTGAAATAATCATTTGAATTGTCATTTTTGCATTTCTCTTTCAATATTAACTCACCTTTACTACACACTATTCCAAAACTAGGTCCTTTCAAACATGAAATCACTTTAGACCAATAAAATGTAACTCAATTTAAAGGATGTACAAAAGAAAATTTGAGATTCAGAAACCCCTCATAACCAGAAAAGGTCCAGAGAGATCCTAAAAGGATTGTAATCCTGCATCATGTATAGAATGGAGACATAGAATACAATTTGATTTGAGAAATAGTAGTTAAAGGACCTATGAAGTGGGTGCAGCTGAGTTAATTAATGCTTTCCACCTGCAGTTGCTCATTAGGTATTTGGGCTCCTGAAATTAATTACAGCTCAGTCCCTGTGATCAACTCTATATTGACATGGACTGTGGAACTCAGCTCACATGCTCCAAATATGTGCCCTCCCTCAAATTTCATTTACCTGTGCATAAGTTCCTGAGTGTATGATTCTCTAAAACAACTTTGGATTGTACAATCTTTCCTGGAATGTAGAAAACAATTGAGATTATTGGAAAACAATAGAAGGCAGATTGTGCCTTGGTAATGTAAGTTTCTACTGGTCTTTCCTCTTTGTTCTGCATTGTGTCAGCTTATAGTTTTATATGTATCTGGAGGATGCAGTCAAAGTGAACCCCATATGCCCAGAAAGGAAGCCTTGATGAGGTGCAGAGTGTGTGCAGTAAGGGCGCATCACCTGGCATGTGGCCCTGATTGGGTTTGCTCAGTGGTCTCCACTATATAAGGGGAGCTCAGACAGAAGAAGCATTTTCCCAGGAAGGAGGAGCTGCAGTGCTCATCACTTTGGGAGAAGAGCGACTTGCTGCCTGCCTGTGAAAACTCCTGAGAAGCTAGAGGGCTTCACTGTCTGCAACCTTGGCTCCTGGTGAGCTCACCAAACAATTAGATGTGAGACGTGCTTAAAGCAGATCCTGCCCATTGTTAGATGAATTGCTATCTTCTGATGCTTAAGTTTTATGGTAAATTTATTTTATCAGCAGTTCTTACCAGTCCCATTCCCTATCTGTTTAAATTTTAAAAATGTTTATGAGTCCATGTTTGCAGATCATCATGTTTGGTTCCCTGTGTGGAGTTGGCCATGCACAGCATAGCTGGGTGCCTTTTTCATCCCCTACCCCTGCCTTCCCTCACCCTTCCTCCATCTCTGGAGAGTTTCTCTCTACTTCCAGGTGTTTTCTCTTTCTTTTGCTCTTTTTTTATAGCTACATCTTTCAGTTCATGTGTCTGAGTTATTTTCTTTAGCATAATAGTCTGAAGTTGCATCCATTTTCTTACAAAGGACTCCAATTTAATTTTGATTATTTTGTCCCTCTTCTATCATTGTTTTCTAATGTATATCAAGGAGTTTCTTCCTCCATGATTGTGGATACATTTTCTCCTATAGAGTAATTAATATTCATAAGGTCTCATAATACTTAAATTTTTATGACTAAATTTCAAGCTCTCAATTGGGATGTTCAATTTCAAGATTTCCTTATGCACACATATCTGGATGCTGCTGTACTAAATAGCACATACAGAGCACATTTTCTTTATTATAAAATGTCCTGAGTTCCTGTGATCTACACCTTCAATTATTTTTCTAATTTGCACTTGCAATAATGTCTTTCCTCCATTGCATTCATTATTTTTTAAGTATATTATTGTGATTCTTTATTATTACTTTCCCTTTTTGGTATCCATGCTCCTATAACATATTTAAGGGATTTATTAAAATTAATATGATAAAGGGATATACTTTCCTCAGAACACTGTGTGAGTTTTGTTTCATTTAAGTATTAATATATGTAATACAAAATGATATTACTGTTTTGAAATTTATTTGAAAATATTTTCCAGGTTATATTTTATAAAATATATTATTTGACAGTTTTTGTCCTGTATCACAAAAATCATTTACTATGGTTGTTTTATGATGTATCTGTGTATTGTATATCAACATTCTTGTGGATATGTGTCTTTCCTCCCAACTTGTAACCACTTCTGTTATACAAGGGACAATTTAAACATTGAAAACTAGATTTTTTTTCTAGGTAAGGGAATTTTACATGTAAATTCCTGTAATGTAAGCATAATATTGCTCTCACTCGTCATGAATTGCTTTGCAAAATTTGGAATTTGAAATTCATGCCATGTTTGTGTTGATTTGTAATCTTTGTATTTTCTTTTGGTCTCATTTTTTTTTATTGCACCCCCATTGTTTATTGGTATGTTTTAGGTATAAAATATACTTACATTCATCATTGGGATCTTCTACAATTACATGGGTATCTTGGTTCTTATTTTTTCCCCTTCCCTTGTCCTCCCTTTACCCCCTCCACCCTTCTCTATTTGCAAAGACTTTGTTTCCATTTTTTTCCTTTTCTCACAGTTTTTCTTTTCCATTTTTTCCTTTCCCTTACCCCTCCCACTTCCCCTACTCCTTTAGAGCATTTCTGCCTATTTCACAATGTCAATAATACATTTAAAAAATTACAATATCAAGATCTAGGAGACATTACCATAGATTTTACAGAATTTAAAAGGATATAGAAAGCATATTACAAAAATCTTTCTTGAAATAAATTTGACAACTTCTAATAAGTACCGGGGAAGACAAATTAATGAAACTGACTCTGGAGGAAATATAAAATTTGAATAGCACCTATCAAAGTATATTCCTAGCTTGAAAACCTACCTTATGCAAACAACAGGCTCATATACATTTAACTGATAAATTATATCAAATATTTAAACCAGAAAAAAAGGAACACTTCTCTCCACATTTTAGCAAATCAACATTGTGCTAATCCTAAAACAGGATAAAGATAATAGAAGAAAAAGTATGAACATAGATGGAAATTTGTTTAAGAAAACAAACTATTGGAAGTCAGATCTGGTGGTATGTAGAAAGTGGTTTTATTATAGGGATGGCAGTGTTGGTTCAGCATTGGAAGATCTACCCCCAAAAGCCATCTTTTCCACAGAGGAAAGGAAGAAGCCATATGATCCTGTCAGTAGTTGGAGAAAAAGTATTTGACTAAATTCTACAGCTGTTCATGGTAAAAGCTATCAAGAAACTAGAAGTAGAAAATAACCTCAACAGATCAAAGGCATGTATTCCATACTTCCAGCAAAAATGCCTTATATGAATGGAGAAGATACAATACTTTCTCCCTAAGGTGGGGAACAAGGGCAGATATGTTTACTCTTTATCTGTCCATTAAATTTTAAAACCTAGTCCCCACCAAAATAGTCTGGCAATAAAATGACACAACTAGGATAGGATTGGCCCGGCAGAAGCAAAATCTTTATATGTAGATGAAATGATCATGTACAGAGAAAATAGTAAGAAATCTCTAGGAGCTCCTAGAACTTGTATTTGAATTTAGCACCATTAGAAAATCCAAGGTATATATAAAACTTCAGGTCTACATATACTTTCTATAAATGAAGAATTTGATATTGAAATTTAAAATTTATGTAGTAAAAGTTAAAGTTATGTAGGAGTATAAAGACCTAGAAAAAGAAAAAGAAAAAGAAACAAAAAGTGTTGTAAGACATTTAGTACCTACTTTTAAGACTTCCTCTAAAGCTACAGTAATCAAGGCTGTGTTGGTGTAATGAAAGACATATATCTCATTGGAACAAAACAGAGAAGCTACAAAGAACCACACATATATGATCCACTAATTTTTGAAAGATTATTAAACATAAACTTTTTATAGAATATAAACTCAAATCAAGAGCTGAGGAAAAGACAATGTTTTCAGCAAATGGCACTAGAACATGTGGTATACATATATACAAAATTAACCTTAATCCTTTATTACCATACATAAAAATAATTCAAAAGAATCTATGAACCTAAATATGAAAGACTGAAACTAGACAACTTTAGGGAGAAATTATAAGGGATAATGTATATGAATTTAGGGTAGGCTCCAACATCCTAGGATACAAAAAACATGATATAGAAAAAAAGTTGATAAATGAGATTCCATCAAAATTTAGAACTTTAAATGACATCGTTAAAATGAAAAGTAGTCCTTAAACACACCATTTTTGCAATGCATATAACTTATGACAAGAATATGTAAAGGACCCTTACAGCTCATTCATAGACAACCCAATTAAAAAGTAGACACAAGAAGATGTTAAATAGCCAGAACAGCACAAGGAAAGGTGTGCAATGTTAGAATCAGAAAAATACTAATCAGTACAATAACAAGATTGAATTATACATTCATTAGAAAGATGAAGTTAAAAGTTATAAAAGGTTTGTCATGAATTTTTCTGTTTGTTGGATTCTCCCCTGTTTTATTTAATTTGTCACACCCAACAGATTCATTCTTCTGGGCTTAGTGGAATTGCGATCCTGTCTTTTCCTAGGATGTTATCTAAAATTTTTTGGAGTACTACTTTGGTATTCATGAAGTTTCTAAGGTGGTCTTTATCATGAAAGTATCTTATTTCTCCATCAATTTTGAAAGACAGTTTTTCAGGGTACATCAATCTGGGTTGGAGGCTGTTTTCCTTTAGGGCTTGAAATACATGACTCCAAGCTCTTCTTGCCTTGAGGGTTTGCATTGAGAAGAATGCTGTGATTCTGATAGGCTTTCCTTTGAATGTGATTTGTTTCTTTTCTCTCACTGCTTGTAGAAGTTTGTTCTGTTGGGTTTCTGAAATCCTAACTATTATATGCCTATGTGGAGATTTTTTTTTTGTATCAAGGCTAGTTGGAGTCCTATATGCCTCACTTATCTGTATATTAAGTTCTTTTCCCCTGCTTGGGAACATTTCTGTCATTACTTCTGTGAGCATGCTTTTATGTCATCTGCACTCTCTCCTGTTTCTTCATTGATTCCAATCCATCATATATTATTCTTCTTTGCATCATCTAGCAGCTGCTGGATAGCTTTCTCATGGTCCCTTACAATTTTGAAGTAATTTTTTTCCTGGTCACTAATTGCAATCTTATCTTCTATATCTGAAATTCTGTCCTCACATTAGCTCATTCTGCTGAGTAGATTTTCAATGGAGTATTTGATCTCTTGGAAATCTGTTTGTATCTGTTTTATGGATTCCATTTTTTTCCTATGTTTGGATTCCATCCTGTTCCTCAGCTCCTGTCCAGATTTCTTAATCATGTCTTGCACTAGGAGCACAATCTTTGCTCTTATCTGAGAAATTATTTCTGATTTCATTTTTTCCAGATCCTCTTTTGCTGCCAGTTCATGGAGTCCAGGTTGTTGAGTATCAGACTGTTCCATCTCTTTTCCCTTTGGGGTTGCTGTAGGTGATCTGGAAGTTAGGTTTTGAGACCGTTTATGAGTCTTCTTTTCAACTCTGGAGGGTGAGGGAGTGCTGTTGGCACCTGCGTGGTTCACCTCCTCTGGGCTGGGAGCAAAGAGATGGATGGCAGCCCAGAAGCCCCTTCCTATTGGCCAGGAGTGATGGGACATATGGTCACCTGGAAGCCTCTTCCTCTGGGCCAGGAGCAGCGAGACAGATGGAAGCCCAGAGGCCCCTTCCTATGATCCAGGAGCAGTGGGACAGAGACCATCCCAGAAGCCCCTTTTTCTGGGCTCAGATAATACTCCATTTTATTTTTTAAAAAGCACATTTTTCTGTCCAGTCTCCACCTGATGGGCACTTTGGCTAGTCCAAGGTTTAACTATTGCAAATTGGACTTTAATTAACATGGGTGCACATATAGTACTGTGATATGATTCTTTTAATTCTTTGGGAAGATACCCAGCAAGGAAATACCTGGGTCAAAAGGGGTTTCCAATCCTAGCAGTCTGAGGCACCTCCATCCTGATTTCTACAGGGATTGCACTAGTGTGCATACCCAGTAATGGAGAAGGGTTCCTTTCTCCACAG